ATGTGATGTTTGTGATATCATATTTCTTGGATCGTAAAATAGTAACTTGGCGTTTCCTTGGTCCTCGTGTGTTCACCAGATACAATTTTGTTCTCAAACCACAACTTCTTTTTCACTTTCTATCGCGGCAATTGTGAACATGTGTGGTGATTAGCGGTCTATGCGCAGTCGTGTCAATTGCTATCGTACGAATTGTGAGAACACCGGGATGTGATATAATCGCATTGTCGCCTGCATTTAATACTTGGTTTTCTTTTTTTTTTTCGTATTTTCTGCCTGTCACCTCTGTCACAAAAAAAATCAAAAGCTAACTAACACAAAACAATCGACCCTTTTTAGGGTTTTCGAAAACGTGCTTCGTGCATGCATATGTTTATTATCGGGTAACTTGATATGTTATGTGTGCTGAATTACCTCTAGCTTTATTGACTTTTTTGTAAATAAAGCAAGGCTCAGCCACGTTCAGGATTCTTAGGGCCGTATCGTTGACATCCCTTCGAGTAATGTCGCGAGCACGCGTCCTTCACGATCACTGCGATCATGTGCGAGAGGTGATAGTCGGGGAACTTATCAAATCCTCACTTCTTCTTCCTCCTCTACAACGACGATCCCATAGAACCTTGTCGCGAAGGTGAGTGAACTCGGCAATGACAAAATTCCTATTCTAGTTACCGTCTTTGTCTCTTAACCTTTTTACCCAGAAATAGAGAAAATTATGAGACACGAATCGTTACACGTGCATTAATTAAACATCTCGTTCGAGCAACTTTTCATGCAGAACCATCAAAAAATGGAATGATCTGGATTTGCCCTGGAATTTTTTACTAAATTGGACACGAGAACTAGTGCTCTGATAGAACGTGGATTCAAATCAAAGCGACTATCGCGATAGCATACAGATAGAGGATTTACCAATTTGGTGAAAACCCTCGCGTGCATTTTGCGTGATACCGACAGACCATGGCTGCATGGCATGCCGATGACATTCGCTCTTTATTCGCTTCCATCTTTGGACTCGATGCCCGCCCAGGGAACTGGATCGAGTCATGCAGGAAAGTCAAATGAACTCGTGAAATTTTCAGTCGATTCTCTTTTCTAAGTAGTGGATTTTTTTTTTTTTTTAGATTATAGATTTCAACACAAACAAATAATCCTTTTTTAAAAAAATAAAAAAAAAAATAAATAAATAAAATACAATATGTTCGTTGTATTTAAAAATTGTTTTTTTTTTTTTTACAATGACATTGCATGTTGTATATTTGTCACCAAAAAAATTAAACTTGAAAATGGATTTACTTGAAAGATTAAATGAAAAGATTTTAAAATGAAAATAAAATAAAAATAAATTAATTTTTTTAATTAAAATATTTTAATTTCAAATAATATTTTTATATAATGTTTTTTTGATTGAATTGTTAGATGTTTTTACAAAACCGGCTTTTGCTGGATCGAATAAAACAACTTTTTAAATTTTTGATCATTAAAGATTTAAAAAGATGATTGTCGAAAAAAAATTTTTTTTTTTTTTTTTCAACTAATTTTATCATAAAAACATTTGATTTATACTATTGTAATTACTCGTGTTTTTCTAAAAAAAAAAAAAACAAACAATTGATCTTATTCGTTATTCAACTTGATTTATTTTATTGTTATTTGAAAATATAATAAAATATAATTGGAAAATGTATTGTAATGTATGTATGTGCAGATACAGATGCTTAAAATTTTTCAATTAAAATAGAACAGGATTATTATTATTATTATTAATTTTTTATTTTAAATTCAATTGTATACTAATGATTCATGTGATAATACAATACAATACAATAATAATTAAAAGATTTATATTATACGGTATGTATATTCGAGAGAGATGGTTTCATTTTTATATCAACCAAAAACTTATCGAATTGCCTGCTAAATTCGAAAAATTTAACGAAACTTTGTTCGTCATCTGGGAATTTTTGTACCGAAAAGAAACACCGAGTGATGTTGAATGCATCCTTGGTTTGCAACATTCTCGACTCGGTAGCAAACATTCACCGATGGAAATCTCGTAAATGTCGTCTGCCAATAAACTAACCATTAATATCCGACGTCCATCAGTTAATAGATGTCCTTTGTATATATAACCATGATTTAGTGATTGTTTAACCAAACCAGACTTTTCTCCAACGCACAGAGAGGATGCGCT